GTGCATAAATTAGAGAAATAGTGATATTGCCACTTAATTAATTGTGAATAAATTAGAGAGTTGTGAATACATTAGAGATTTGTGAATATATTAGAGAATTAGTGACGTTGCTAATTTTTGTTTTTTTGATATATAGATTCATATGTGAATTGAAGCACGAGTTTAATTATCTTGAGGACTACATATTGAGCTCAAGTGGATAGTTGCTATATTGGTATGACTTATATACATTACTCAGCTATATTTCTTTCTATTTATTCATTTAATAAAAGTTGATTCATGAAATTGCAACTTGTGTATTGTTTAATTGCAAATAAATACAACAATATATAGAATACTTGCATCATCATATGCCTAGATACCCGTTCAAGGCTTTCTCATTAGGAGAAAGTCTTGAATAGTCCCCGGTTAGGACTGTTCTTGAATGTGTACTCTCACTTAGGTGGTGAATTTATGTTTTCTTTTCGATTTTAAGGAACATCTTGGCTTACCATTTCCTCACTATGTTCTCTGGGTACATATGTGGGTAATTAATTATCTACATCGTGTACTTGGAGAACTAGGGGGAAATGCTGCCGGATTTTCCTTAAAATTGGAAAGTTGACATACATTCACTAGTGATAGTAGACATTCAAGGATGGGTTAGGTTGGAGTGATAAGGACCCTTTGGAAACATGCATTTTTTCACTATATGAATGGTATATTCACGTTTTGTACTTGAATTTGATTTACATAAAATATGTAGCACTTACACATTATAATTATATGGTGCTATATATGTTTAGAGACAATTTACTAAATGGAGAAGGATCGTGGTTGGATGTATGGTAGACGCGATGCATTGTAATTTTGGAATGGGGTTCAAGAGTTTTGCGAGAGGGCTTTAGCTTATCAACGCAAACTGGGAGGCAAAGGCCTTTATTGTCCTTGTGTTGATTGTAATAATGTGAATGTGGTCGATAGTGTTGAAATCATTAGAGATCATGTATTATGTCATGGGTTTAGGCAATTATACCATGTGTGGATTTGGCACGGAGAAAGTGGAGAGTACAGTGGGGATCTTGATCGGAATGATGTGCGTGTTAGAAGCAATGAGATTCACGTGGACGAGGAATACGAGAATGATGAGTATATTGTTGATAATGGTGAGGATGGAGCCGATGAAGATCAGGCGGATGAGGTTGAGGATGAACAAGTGGATGAGATGTTGCATGGTGTTGATGAAGGTGAAGTGTTTGAATTATTATCGGAGGCTTCCAAAAAGTCTTTGTATCCCGGGTGCAAAAAATACTCCAAACTATCGGCCATAATAACACTTTTCAACATTACGTCGAAGCGTGGGTGGACGGACATCAGTTTTACTTCTTTGTTGACCGCATTAAGTGATATGTTGCCTGATGGGAATGAAATTCCTAAGTCTTATTATTACGCAAAGAAGCTCATGTGTCCCTTTGGTTTGGAGTATAAGAAGATACATGCATGTCCTAATGATTTTATTTTGTATCGAAATGAGTATGAAAAACTGCAGGAGTGTCCACGATGCAAGCGGTCATAGTACAAGCGCATAAGTTGCAATCCTGGCACGGAGGGACCTCCTGCTAAGGTGTTGTGGTATCTTCCCATTATTCCAAGGTTTAAGCGTCTGTTCTCAATACCAAAAGACGCTAAAAACTTGAGGTGGCATGCAGAGGGAAGAAAGAAAAACAGAATGCTGAAGCATCCAGCTGACTCTCCACAGTGGAAGAACATTGATTTGAAGTTTGAGGAATTTGGTAATGAAGTCAGAAATTTAAGGCTTGGGTTGTGCACGGACGGGATGAATCCATTTGGCACTCTTAGTACCCAACACAGCACATGGCCAGTACTTTTAGTGATTTATAATTTGCCTCTTTGGCTGTGCATGAAACGTAAGTATGTAATGCTTTCATTGCTAATAACTGGTCCTAAGAAACCTGGAAACAACATAGATGTTTACCTTGCGTTGCTTATTGACGACTTGAGAAAGATGTGGGACGAAGGGGTTTCCGTTTTCGATGCTCATCAGAACGAGATGTTCACATTGCGTGCAGCCCTTATGTGGACCATGAATGACTTCCCTGCATATGGCAACTTGTGTGGGTACAAGGTCAAAGGGAAAAAGCATGCCCCATATGTATTGATGACACATCAAGAGTATACCTGACTCATTCTCACAAAGATGTCTACCTACGGACTCGAAGGTTCCTTAGGCGTGATCACCCGTACCGTAGGCAGAAAAAGGCTTTCGATGGAACCGTGGAAGAGGATGCTGCGCCTAGACCATTGACTGGTGCTGAGATTAGTGCTCGAGTGAAAGGGATACGAACGGTGTTTGGAAAATCAGAAAAAACTGTGGTCTCAGCTGCTCTATTTAAAAAAGAATCAATCTTTTGGAAGCTGCCGTACTGGAGAGAAAATGACGTTAGGCATTGTCTTGATGTGATGCATATAGAGAAGAATGTGTGTGATTCTCTTTTGGGGATGCTTATGAATATCCCAGGCAAAACAAAGGACGGAAAGGGTGCACGGTTAGATTTGAAAGAGATGGGGATTCGTCCAGAATTGTGGCCTCAAGAAAAGGTTAGAAAGGGGAAGAAGCCGAGAATAGAAGATGAAAATGTTTCAAAAAAAGGGAAGGAGAAGAGCAAGGGAAAGGGAAAGGCCAAAGATGCGTCAAAGAAGAAAGTTAAGGGTAAAGGGAAGGATGAAAAGAATTATTTACCCCCGGCTTGTTATACATTGTCAAGGGTAGAGAAACGTATGTTTTGTGCATGTTTGTACGACATTAAGGTTCCATCAGGGTACTCATCTAACATGAAAAGATTTGTAACCTTAAATGGAGAATTGAAGCTGACAAGTATGAACCATGATTGTCACATTATGATGCAAGTATTCCTACCGATTGCAATCCGTAGTATTCTACCGAAACACGTGAGGGAAGCGATTACAAGCCTTTGTTCGTTTTTCAATACAATTTGTAGCAAAGTTATTGATCCTTGTACACTAGATGCTTTGCAAGCAGATGTGGTTGTGACTTTGTGCAAATTTGAGATGTATTTCCCACCCTCATTTTTTGACATAATGGTTCATCTGGCTCTTCATTTGGTGCGTGAGATTAAGTTGTGCGGTCCAGTGTTCATGAGGTGGTGCTACCCTTTTGAAAGACACATGGGTAAATTACAAGATAAAGTACGGAACCGAGCTCACCCTGAAGGAAGTATAATGCAAGGGACAGTGGGTGAGGAGATAGGTAACTTTGTGGCGGAATACATAGCCCTTGCTCAACCTATTGGTCTTCCTACTTCTCGACATGAAGGTAGACTTGATGGTCATGGCACAATTGGGTCGAAACGAATGTCACCAGACCGAGATCAGTTCTTACAAGCACACCTTTATGTGTTGCACCATGTTTCAGATGTGCACCCATATTTAGACGAGCACATGGCTAGTTTGCGTGCCGAATTTCCATCCAAAGGTGAAAGGGCACTTATGCAGTTGCAGAATAAGAAATTTGTTGATTGGTTTTGTGATCGAGTAATGAGTGGATTGAATGATACTAATGTGACCGATACAGTACGGTGGCTTGCGTACGGTCCTAGGGATGATGTTCGTTCATTTGAGGGATATGACATCAATGGGTACACTTTTTGTACCGAGGATCGTGATTTGAAATCTTCCTCCACCCAAAACAGTGGTGTAACTCTTGTGGCATCATCAAGGGAGTTTTCAAGTTCTAAGGATAAATCACCTGTCGATGCAGAGTTGTCATACTATGGTCGAATTCAAGAAATATGGGAGCTTGATTATTGTGACTTCACGGTTGCTCTTTTCAAGTGTAAGTGGGTTGATAATATCAGGCGTAACGTCAAACATGAGGACTTTACTCTTGTAGATCTTGGCCACTTGAATGATAGTGCGGAACAATTTATCCTTGCATCTCAAGCTAAGCAAGTGTTCTACGTAACTGACCCAATGGATTCAAAATGGTCTATAGTGCTAGCTGGCAAAAGAAGAATCCTAGGCATTGGAGATGTTGAGGATGAGGAAGAATATGATGCGTTTGATGATTCAACACCTTTCACTGTTCCTATACCTGTTGTACTAAATGACATAGACAACGAAGCAGGTTATATGCGATCAGACCACAACGAAGGAATTTCAGAATGAGGTAGTTTGATTAAAAGTTAGTAATGGTTTCATTGCAAATATAGTTTAGTTATCATGTATATAGGAGCATAAGTAGGCGAAAATGATATATTTGTAGTTTGAAATTGCCTAAATGTACTCATTATCATGCATATACAAGGTTATAGGACCATAAGTAGGTGAAATTGGCTTAAATAGCTTCTACTTAACCCAATTCTTTTGTTTTGTGTATGAACTAACATTTATTCATTCTAACAACCTACATTCGGTATATTTAACATGTTTTTAGTTTGAAATTGCCTAAGTGTACTCATTATCATGCATATACAAGGTTATAGGACCATAAGTAGGTGAAACTGGCATAAATAGCTTCTACTTAACCCAACTCCTTTGTTTTGTGTATAAACTAACATTTATTCATTCTAACAACCTATTTTCCATATGTAGATTGAAATTGGCATTTTGTACTCATTATCATGCATATACAAGGTTATAGGACCATAATAAGTAAGTGAAAATGGCTTAAATAGCTTCTACATAACCATAATAACTATCATGCATATACTTGACTATACACTAATATTGTTTTATGATTGCTTTGACAGGTGCTTATATCTCATGGAGGACGATCATGATCCTCCTTTGGTAGAGGAAATTGACGATGATGAGTATGAGGACGAGTACGAGGATGAAGACTCCGATGATAGTGATGTGCCTTATGATGTGAATAAGGAGGATGACTTGGGTGAGCCAGAGGATCAGGCTCAAGATGAGTTCGAGCGTAGGCTTGACGATTTTGAAATTTCAGCTGATCGTGCACCGGCCATTGTAAATACAGCACGTGAGATTGTTGGTGAGAACCCGACTCCTGAAAGTCAAGGTCAAGGACAAGATGAAAACAACACAGGTGGTGGAGGGGGGGAAAAGGCACCGGCTGAAAGAAAAAGAAGGGGTCTGACGAGAAGCTTTAAGAAACCGGACGGTCCCATGGTCTTGAAGTATGACAACAAAGGCCAACCCGGGCCCAAATGGCGTCGACAATATGCTAATCAAGTTGGCATATGTTCGCGGAAAATCCCCATTACACTTGTAATGCGGCAAGTACCTCCGGGTTTGATTCAAGCATTTTGGGATGATACAAGGGTAAGTGTGTTTTTGGCACATTTAGAAAATTTAAGATACCTTAACCTTATGGTTGTTACTAAATAGAAACTAATAATCGGTTTTAATTTGTGCTTGCAGAGGCTGTTTTATATTCTTAATGATCCCAAGAAGAGAAGGGTGTTTGAATCTTTATTAGCGGAAAGATTCAGAGGCTTTAAGACCAAGTTGACTAATCGATGGATCTACAAGAAGAAGAAGGTGCAAACAAAGAAGAAGAATGCCAAAGAGGATGACCGTCTCCCGTGGCAAATATGGCCGACCGTGTCAAAAGATGATTGGGAAGAGTTCGTTAGAATGAAGAGTCAAAAGAAAGCCATTGTAAGTTTGTGTAAATCTGATCTCAATTGAATAATAGCTTGACACTTTTTGTAGTAATGAGACTAACATTTTTTGTTTTGTAGGAACTTCGAGAGCAAAATCAAGCGAATGCAGAAAAGAAGGAATACGTCCATCGTATGGGTCCTAAGACTTTTGGTGAAAAAAGACCTGAGTGGGTCGGTTCTGGTTTATACCCTAAAGCGCTTCTAGTGGCATCGAAGGAACCCTCTAGTTCCACGATCACTACATTGGTGAGTCGTGCCGGTGATTTCTTTTGTTCTCTCCATTCGTTTGATAAGAAAACCGGAAAATGGGTCATCAAGGGTCCGGAAGCCAAAAAACTGGCGGATAAGCTTGTAAGTTACCTATGAATTGTTGAAATTAAGTCACTTTTGCATCTAAATCACTGTACAAACCATTAACTGTTTTACTGACCTCATTTTTCCTTATGTTATAGCTTGAGCACACTCAAGAGATGGTGGAGGGCAAATTTGAACCAAGTGTGGAGAATGACCCTTTCACCATGGCTTTGGGAAGGTCATACCATCCAGGACGAGTAGTAGGTTCGGGAGGGTCATTGCTTGGATGGAATAAGGTGATGGGTCCCAAATACACAAAATCGGGTAGATCTCGAGCCAGTGTTAACTCACCAGGGGAGTTGGATGCCAAGGTGGCATCAATTAAGGAACAAATACGCAACGAATTAGTTGGTGAATTGAATGCTTGGGCGAAGCTGATGAACTTACCGACTTTGCCGTTCCTCACGAGTACCTCGGTCGACTCATGTTCTGAACCAAAAGGACAAGGAGAAGGTGATAGACATGGAGGAGATGAGATACGTGGTGAAGATGTGCCATCTAAGGTAAAATCAATTGGGTTATTAAAAGTTTTAAAATACTGAGTTAATTGAGATTTGAGGTGCAATGATTGATGTACTGTTGCAGGTTCCTACTCCTACACATGCGGACTCGAGGGAGCTTGAAAATCCAACACCGCATGAATTTCCAGAGTTACAGGTGATTTGTAACCCTCCACCTTAATGAATTTTGTTATATTATCTATGCTGTTGTAAAAGTCCTATTTAACTATCTTCTTTTTATATAAATACTTGTGTAGGAAGACACCCGGTGTGCACTTCTAGCCCCGGGGCATGCAAATAGTACGGCGTTGAGCTTGGTGGCGTCTGGTAGTGCCCAACCGACGACGGGTGATACGGCGGGGCCACATCATTACTCGGTTGGGATCGATTTAGTGGTTGCGGGGTTCGAAGACATCCCACTACCCGTACCGATAGAGGAGGTTGAGATAACAACGCTTTGGCAAGCTGTAGGTAGCTTCGTTGATTGTCCACGTGCATGGGTCAAGTTGATTAATAAGGAGGTAAATTATTTAGTTCTCAATTTTTGTCAGTGTTAAACCGTTAGACACTCTTAAAATAAAACCGCCAAATATTTTATTATTATTTTTTTTACAATATGCAAGGTTCGCCAAGTTGATTTCAAATGGCTCAAAAAAAAAAATTTTAAAAATATGCAAGTTCCGCCGCCCCCGCTGCCGGAACAGCGAAGGAAACCCGCGCCGAGGCCACAACAGCCCCGACAGGTGGCTGCCAAGGCTGTAGCAGCCACGGCAGGTGGCTGCCAGACTGCTGCAGCCTCGGCAGCAGCCTTCCTGGGCTTCTACAGCCATGGCATCCACCTGTCGAGGCAGCAGCAGCCCAGGCAGGCTGCTGCCAAGGCTGCAGCAAACTGGCAGCCACCTGTCGTGGCTGCTACAGCCTTGGCAGCCACCTGTCGGGGCTGCAGTGGCCTCGGCGCGGGCTGCCTTCGCTGTTCCGGCAGCAAGGGAGGCTTCCTCGGGTGTCCCGGTGCGGCGGAAGTTGCATATTTAAAAAAAAAAATTATGCAATTTTCATCATTTCATCAAAATCAAGGTCATTCGAGCCGAAATGGCTACTCACTTGCCTATTTTATTCATTTCTCAACTAATAAACTTATACATTCTCAAACCATATCATAATCACATATGTATAAGTGATTGTGAGTTGAAATTGCATAAAAGAAGCAAAGTTCTAATTTTTTTGGCGCATTTCATCAAAATAAAGCCAATTCGAGCCGAAATGGCTACTTACTTGCCTATTTTCTTCATTTCTCAACTTATAAACTCCTTGCATCTCATAACAACTCATAATCACATATTTATAAGTGTTTGTCATTTGAAATTACATAAAAATCGCCAAGTTCTATGTTTTTGGGTCCAATTCATCAAAATAAAGCCATTTTGAGCCAAAATGGCTACTCACTTGCCTATTTTCTTCATTTCTCAACTAATAAACTTATACATTCTCAAACCATATCATAATAACATATGTATAAGTTATTGTGAGTTTAAATTGCATAAAAGAAGCAAATTTCTAATTTTTTTTGGCGCATTTCATCAAAATAAAGCCAATTCGAGCCGAAATGGCTATTTACTTGCCTATTTTCTTCATTTCTCAACTTATAAACTCCTTGCATATCAAAACAACTCATAATCACATATTTATAAGTGTTTGTCATTTGAAATTACATTAAAATCGCTAAGTTCTAAGGTTTTGGGTCCAATTCATCAAAATCAAGGTCATTTGAGCCGAAATGGCTACTCACTTGCCTATTTTCTTCATTTCTCAACTAATAATCTTATACATTCTCAAACCATATCATAATTACATATGTATAAGTGATTGTGAGTTGAAAATTATTATTTCTCAAACTATTTCAGATTTCGAATGGAAGCAAAACTTCAAAGAGAAAGAGGGTAGAGAAGCCTAAAAGAATTGATCAACCTAAGAAGAAGCTAAGTGAACAACGGTCCAAGAGTGAACAAGCGTCGAAGTTGCACTCTTCGAAAGGTTCACCCATGCCACCTACTCCACTTGTTGAAGACATTGTTCTTCAATCGCTCTCTGCTGACATGACCTTTCCTCACAACCGTGCTTGTCATTTGGTAGATCCCATGGAATTTGCACTTCCTAAGGCAATGTTCCACTATGATGAGGATGCATATGCATGGATCAACAAAGAAGATGTGAAGGAATTTCTACGTGGTGCAAAGCTTAACATTTCCCTCATTCAAACATTCATGAGGTACTTCAATGCCCACATAATCTATACTTTTTTCAAGTTATTCAAATTGATGGTGATTATCTTACATCTGATAGATTATTCAATGTTCATGCATGCAGAGCACTATAGGAGCACTTAACTGACACTGATTCTCCTTGTAGAGTTGGATGGTTATGCCCCGAGCAGTTATCCACTACTAGAATCATAGGCAACCTCCATGACGTGGTGTACTATGTTGAACAGAGTATAAGGGAATCAGCGTGTGCTGGAGACAGGTTCATATTCGCCCCATGTTATAGAGAGTAAGTCTAACCATGTCAAATTCAATCAATTTGGCCTCATTATATGTTGACTCCTAAATATTAATTACCTTGTCTATTTTGAACTTATGTAGGGAGCATTGGAGCCTCATGGTGATTTGTAATTCCACTAACACAATTTATCACCTTGATTCAGCTCGATCATCGGAGAAGTGGCTCGTGAAGTCTATATTGCAAAAGTAAGTATATATAGCAACCTAGTGATTATTATTGCTAATAATAACTAATTTAGTAATCATACGACTAATCAAATTTGAAAGTACTTTTTTTTACTACAGTTTTATGAAGAAGCTACATTGTCGTGCTCCAAAGGGTCCAACATGGAAGACATCGTTGGTAATTTACATGATATTGTGATTATCTTGAAAATATATGTTAGTAAATATTTGCTCATTTCCTTTGCATGTTTCACTGATGTGATTTGTTTGTCATATGCTAGTGCGCACAACAAGAGAATGGACTTGATTGTGCTTTGTATGTGATGAGATTCATGCTTGACATTGTGACTCATTGTACGGACACTCAACAGCTTGATGAGGTAAGTTCTAAAACTTATTGAATTGCTATATTGATGTGATTTCACACCTTAGACACCTAATATTACCCAACAATGGCATGTTATGAGAAACAAAAAGGTTATTTCACAAGAAAGGTAGAAAATGGGCTGAATACAAGTCATATGGGCCATATTAGGGTCATTTTGTGTTAATATGCTCTTTTGATGTGATTTCTTTCCTTATACACCTATAACTAGATAATATTGACATGTTATGAGATAAATAAGTTCATTTAATAAGAAATGTAGGAAATGGGCAAAGTAAAGTCATATAGGCCATATTCGGGCCATTTTGAGTAAAAAGCGTCATAAACCTTAATAAAATGCTCTCCTATACAATTTTAGGGCTTACACACATAAAACTACCCAACATTGACATGTTATGAGAAATAAATAGTTCATTTGATAAGTAATGTAGAAAATGGGCTGCATAGAAGTCATATAAGCCCTATTTGGGCCATGTTGAGTAAAATGCGTTGTTAAACTTATTGAAATGCTATATTGATGTGATTTCTAGCCTTAGACACCTAATGTTATCCAACAATGACATGTTATGAGAAACAAAAAGGCTATTTCACAAGAAAGGTAGAAAATGGGCTGAATAGAAGTCATATGGGCCATATTAGGGCCATTTTGTGTTAATATGCTCTTTTGATGTGATTTCTTTCCTTATACACCTATAACTAGATAATATTGACATGTTATGAGATAAATAAAGTTCATTTAATAAGAAATGTAGGAAACGGGCAAAGTAAAGTCATATAGGCCATATTCGGGCCATTTTGAGTAAAAAGCGTCATAAACCTTAAGAAAATGCTCTCCTATACAATTTTAGGGCTTACACACATACAACTACCCAATATTGACATGTTATGAGAAAGAAATAGTTCATTTGATAAGTAATGTAGGAAATGGGCTATATAGAAGTCATATAGGTAATATTTGATAAAATACATATTGTTTTGCCTAATTAATTATTTTTAAAATAATGTTTTTGTATTTCAAGTTTTGCAAGGTCCAAAAGGATGGTCCGTTGACAATCAAGGAGCTTAATGAAGTTCGTGACATGTTGGCGTCTTTTATCACCTTCAACATGTAAATGGCATTGTAATTGTAAATTATTTATGTTAACTTTTGAACTATATAACTTATTATTCATTATATATGTACTTACTATTATTTGTTTATGTAAGCAACTTTTTTTTTCTGTATTGCGTTTGGGAATATTTATATCTATATATATAATTGAATTCTTGTTTTTAATATTATTTTTGTATCTTATTGTAATAATTAATAATATTATTATTATTAGTTATTATAATATTAATATTATTAATTATTATATTTAATATAATTGCTGGAATTACAGGTTATTATTATTGCTGGAAACAGGTTTTTTTAAAAAAAAATTATTGCACGAAAATTGGAAAAAAAAATAATAA